ATGCTCCAGAAGACTTCTCAAGAGATCCCAATAAGCTTCTCAACTTCTCAATTTCTGCACTGTTGAACATCCATATTGCTGAATTTTCCTCAATATTGGGCTGCTCCTGCTCTGCCATATGCGCTTGAGGCCTTTGTTGCCCCCAACGGTTGCCCCATTCTCGGCTTGGAGGTTTACCATTCAACTTCCAACACTTCTCCCTTGTATGTCTCAGTTTCTTGCAATAAGTACACCAAAGATTGTCTTTGTTCTCCTTCCCTTGGTTATCTCTACCTGATTGTTTAGGCAGATCATTCTTCGACTTCTCCTGGTTTGTTTTTGCTGCTACGGCTGACTCATCCATAGTATGTGGTTCTTGCATGACACTCCTCTGACTTTCTTCTGCTCAGATTAATGAGATTGTCTCTTCTAGAGACGGAGTATCCTCCTTGCCAAGGATTTGGATCCTAACCTGATCAAATTCAGAATTAAATTTAGAATTCAATCCTACCAAAAAATCATATTTCTGCTCCTTCTCAATGAACTTCTTCAAAGTCTTATGAAGGAGAAATGAACTGAGATAGAGATAGAGGCAAGGCTGAATAAGCGACGTTGGAGGCAGGGCTCCTAGAAGAGAAGCTCATACCCAAAGGGAAATGATCCTTAGGTCAGAAAGGCCCCTCTCTTCACTAAGCTAAGCCGGAAAGAGAGAGAGAGTGAGATCCGAGCATAGCCATAGATGTGGAACTCTTTCGAAAGAGGTAGGAATTCTTCGCTAAAAAAAGAGGACAGGTGCGCAGCGGTTCGTAATCGTAGCAAGTGACATCTTCAATCAAGAAAGACCTGGCTCAAGGGACTCAAATCAGGGCATTTCATCTCAATTACTTGATAGTGATCTAGTTCCTGCCAAAGATTTTGCAACAAAGTTGCATACTCTGTGACAAATTTATCTCATTGTTTGGTGGCTCCAGTTTTTGCCTTGATTTCATACACAAGGGCAGCATCACGGGCCTTCGAGTATGTGCGGTTGATATACTTTGCAGTATTCAAGAACATGCAAGTGTCGCTGATCGTTGGGTCCATAGAATCCCATAGCCAGGACATAATCATGGAATCCTCCTCATCCCATGCGGTAGAGGTTGGATCCTTTTTTCTAGTCCGATTTCATGTATGTGATTAAGCCTTCCTTTAACCTTTAGGTATGTGCGGACAATTTGAGACTATTTGAGATAGTTCTTCCCATTGAACTTGTTGGATGCCCGAATATTCTGCAACTCTCCAATTTTCTGAACCGCATTGGATTCTTCGGAAGGGTTGGAATAGAGAGAGACAGTGGTTTCAGACATTGACATGGTGGAGAAGAGAAATTCACAGCAATTAAGGCTGGAACATGCAGAAAAGGAAGCCCAGAGAAGAGAAACACACCGCAATGAAGGCTGCTTGAAGAAGAATACGAAACCCCAGAAAAATCCAAGGTTGGTTGGTACGAAGGAAATACAGAGGCTGAAGAATAGCCAGTTGCAAAGAAAAAACAGCTGGGTAGGGAGGTCTCACGACATAGAAACAGGAATCCAATTGAAATTCCTGCTTCTGCGGCTGCAGGGTGGAATCCTCTATGATTTGAACCCTGTCTCTGATACCATGTGGGAAATCAGAGATGAGAGAAAATAATTTTGAATTTCCTTAATTTGAATTGATAATACACGGTATTATATAGGAGATTACAGGGAGAAAAAATAGGAAACTGACTCATTCCTAAACCTGGAAATTATTTATCAAATTCCCTCAATTTAAGGGATTACAAATTAATTCTCCCAACCTTCTTTACAGCTCAGCTACACCTCGACACTCCCCCTCAAGCTCTCAAGCTGAGGAATAAATGTCTTCCATTCCCAGCTTGGATACAAGATCATGGAAACTCGAACTGTTCAGCCCCTTTGTTAGAACATTGGCTAATGGCTAACATTGGCTAATTGTCTCTCTGATGGAACATATGACATACACACTAACCCTTCCTCCAGTTTTTCTTTAATGAAATGTCTATCAATTTCAATATGTTTTTTCTATCATGTTGTATAGGATTATGAGCTATATTAATAGCTGATTTGTTGTCATAGTAAAGCTTCATAAGACCCTCCCATTGGACTCTCAAATCATCCAAAATGATTCTCAGCCAAAGTAATTCACATAATCCTTGAGCAATAGCCCTGAACTCTGATTCCGCAGATGACTTTGCCACTACATTCTGCTTCTTGCTCCTCCATGTCACTAGGTTACCTCCAAGAAAAGTACAATATCCTGTAGTTGATCTTCTACCCACTAGGGAGCCAGCATAGTCAGCGTCGGTGTAGGCTTCCAGAGTAAGAGCGTCATTCTTTTTGAATAAGATTCCTTTCCACGGATTGCCTTTCAAGTAATGCAGTACCCTGTATGCAGCCAGAAGATGAGGTTCTCTTGGATCATGCATGAATTGACTGATCATGCTTACAGAATACGTTAAGTCTGGTCGAGTGTGAGCAAGGTATATGATTTTGCCAACCAATCTCTGGTACATTCTTTTATCCGCAGCTGGTTCTTCTTTAGTTTCTCCCAACTTATAGTTTGGATCTATTTGAGTAGAGATTGACTTACACCCAGTCTTCCATATTTTTGCAAATAAATCAATCACGTACTTCTGCAGAGATATAAAGATCCCCTGTGTGGAATATGTCACCTCAAGACCGAGGAAGAACTTCAATTTCCCCAGTTCCTTGGTTTCAAATTCTTTTACTAGTCTCAGCTTCAATTCATGCTTCTCTTTCTCATCATTTCCAGTCACTATGATGTCGTCTAAAAGAGCAGTCACTCCCCCTACAGCCGAATGTTTAATGAAAAGAGTGTGGTCACCTTGGTTTTGTTTATACCCAGATTCCTTTCATGACTTTTGCAAATCTGTCAAACCATGCTCTAGAAGATTGTTTTAACCCATAAATGGCCTTTTTTCAACTTGCACACCTTGTTAAATGTGTCCCCTTCAAATCCCGGTGTGATGTTCATGTAGATTTCCTCATTTAGGTCACCATGGAGGAATGCATTCTTAACATCATACTGTAGCAGTTGCCAATTGAAGTGGGCAGCCAATGATAATAGGATTCTCACAGTGTTCATTTTTGCAACTAGAGCAAAGGTTTCCTAATAATCCACCCCATAAGTCTGAATGTACCCTTTGGCTACTAACCTTGCTTTATATCTTTCAAGGGATCCATCAGCCTTGTACTTCAATGTAAAAATTCACTTGCAATCAACAATGTTTTTCTCTTCGATTTATCAACGATCTCCCATGTTTTATTCCTTTCTAATGCACTCATTTCCTCTCTCATAGCATCCCTCTATTCCCCTTTTGACAATGTCTCATACACATTGTTAGGGATGGCAAACTCACAATGAATCTTTTGTGGGTTGGTGATAGGCGCTTAAGAGAGACATGGTGAGATAGTGGATTAGATTCTTAGACTTGTGTCAGTTCAGGAACGACCTTTCTCCTTGAATACACCTGAGGAAATCTTGGAAAATCGTGAGTGACACTGGTTGGAGTAGGAGATGATACGGGTTCAGGATCGGGTGACTCAGATGTGATTGGTTCAGAGGACTCGGGTTCAGCTGGAACATGAGGAGAGTTTGATTCAGGTTCAACAACACGGGCTGGTATATGAGGAAGGTCAAGTGTTTTAAGTGGTTCAAAGGGCTCACAAGTATTATCTTCCATCATGAAAATCTCCCCCTGAAGAGAAAAATCTCCCCCTGAAGAGAGCTGAAGAGAGGACTTGGAAAAAAAGGGTTTATTTTCTGTGAAAGTAACATCTGTAGAGATGTAAAATTTTCTGATAGAGAGGTTGTGACACCTGTATCCCTTTTGAGTGGAGTAACCGAGGAAAACACATTTGATGGCTCTGGGGTCTAGCTTCCCTCTATGTTGTTTGTGGACATGAACAAAGGCAGTACACCCAAATACCCTGAGTGTGAGGTCATTTTGTGAGGTCATTTGAGGTTCTGAAGTGAGGGTAGAAGCTATTAAGGACTTCTATGGGGCTTTTGTTTTCTAACACATGAGAGGGAAGTCTATTGATCATATATGTGACAGTAAGAATGGCTTCTCCCCAATAGGACTTAGGAACATTCCCCTGAAATAGTAAGGCTCGGGTGGTGTTGAGTAAATGTTCATTCTTTCTTTCAACTACTCCATTTTGTTGGGGTATGTCCACGCATGATGAATCATGGATAATCCCCTGTGATTGAAAGTAAGGTGATAGAATTTGATTGAAGTAGTTTCTAGCATTGTCTGTCCTAAAGCCTTTTATTTTGACCCCAAATTGATTTTGAACCATTGAATGGAAATTAGGTATAACAGTGCTAGCATCAAATTTTTGTTTAAGAAGGAAGAGCCATGTAACCCGGGTGCAATCATCAATTAAAGATACAAACCAACGAGCCCCAGAAATATTAGGTATAGTGGAAAGACCCCATATGTCACTATGAATTAGATGAAAAGGATGATAACTTTTTTTATTGCTAATAGGAAAAGATACACGAGTATGTTTTGCCAATTCACAAATGTCACAATGAAACTCAGAAATATCTAATCCTTGTAATAAATGAGGAAACATTATATTTAGATACCCAAAAGAGGGATGACCAAGACGTAAGTGATACAGTCAAATAACATCTTTGTTCGAGGAACTAAGGAAAGATGAAGACAAATTGCTTCTAATTTTCTGGGATGGTTCAAGGTGGTAAAGACCGCTCCTTTCCTTAGCAAGTCCAATCCTCCTCCCCGAGTCTTGTTCCTGAAAAATACAATAAGAAGGGAAAAAAACAACATAACATTTGAGATCATGAGTCAATTTTTGAATGGACACAAGGCTTGTTGACAGTTTGG